GTCAGCTTTGGTGACCGTGACCTTGAGCGGCATCTTTCATCTGTAGTCATGGGGCTATGCCTACTCTGGAGGATTGTAAAATCCTGCATGGGAAATTTCTTGGCAACCTAACAATCATCTCTCCCCTTTCACCTGGTCCTGTTGTGCCCTGAGAACAGATGGCCAGGTAGCCTGGGCTGAGGTGGGACAGAGCTGGGTAATTTGATAGACCTGGACCACCTGAGCTAAGGATCCAGGGACTAAGCATGAAATGACATGTGAGGAGGTTCTCTTGGGTGTCCACATCAGGGTGCTGGTGCTCTCAGCCTCACCTGCCTTCCCAGACCAGGCTGTACCTGTCAACCCCTCCTCCATGTCCTGGCACAATTATGACAGCACTCTTTTCTCTCCAGTTTGAGATCATGAATAAAATATTCCGCCTCATCTGGACCTAACTGCCGTCCATCACAGAAAAGCGAGGATCACTCCCTCATCTTCACAGATACTATGCCCCATGAATTCTACCTCCCTGGCATCTCTCAGCCCCTGCCCCTTTCCTGCCTGTACCCAGTTTCTTCAGCAAGGGGCTCCCCACCTTCAGTTCCATCTCTCCTCCTCTCCCATTCTCCTGCTCCCAGAGCAACCTTGCCCAGAGTGAATCTGACCCCACTCTCCAGGCTAAAACTCAAATAGTGATTCTCCTCCTCCTTCCTGGCTTCGAGATAAAATCCAGACTCCACCCCAGAGCCCACCCAGCTTTCTGGCTCCTCCAAGTTGTGTCCCTGCCCCGCCCTGAGCCGCACCCCTTACCCAGTCATCCAGGCTGTCATTTGTTCTCCGCAGCTGACAACCGGTATCTCAGGCTAGCTGGTGTTCTGTCTCCCCACCCATCCTTCGAGCTCCGTAATGGTATCTTTTATGTTTGAATCGACAGCACTTAATGAGATGCTGGTGTGCGATAATATTTGTCAGGCGAGTCGGTTCATGTTCCTAACACCAGACAGTCGGTGCAGCCACGGTTACCTGAGCCAATGGCTGCACTTGGTTGCAGCCCCCTTCTGCATGCTTGCACACTGGGAGGAATGCCTGCCTCCAGGCCTCATGTTTCTGTCCTGGCCACTGGGGCTGCTCTACCCAGGACAGGGCCAATTATTCTTTGTCTGCATCAGGCCCTATTTTCTTGCTCCAAGGTGTGAAGAGAAGGGCGGGAGTATGCCGGGGAGATCTTTCTAGAGAAGTCTGTGACTCCCTGCCCAGGATGCTTGTAGGTCTCCGGATCTCCAGCCCCCATGAACTCCGTGTTGAAATTTGTGTCTACACTGCCAGGGACCAGTGGAGGTGAGGAAGTGGCCCCTAGGGGGCAACAACACAGACACACAGCTGCAGACACAGGTGGCTGGGGGACCTTGCTCGCCCAGCCCGGGAGGACACTCAGGGTCACCTGCATTCTGGAGCCTGATCAGAAACCCAAGGGACAGCAGGACAGAGCGCTGTGGCTTTTGTTCCTTGCCTCTAATGCAATGCACATTTCCCACTTAAAGGCAATTTCTTCCTTTCAAAAGGATTCCAGCTGCTGAAATTTAAGGTGAAGAATAAGCAAGTCATCATGAAGACGGTTCTCAGGGGTTTCCGTTTTCATTGGCTTGAGAAGGGGAGGCATTTAAAAATGCCTTGTTAATGTTTGTTGGAGGAAGCGACGGGGGACCAAAGCATTCACTTACTTCAATTCGCTCAGCGATCAGCCTTGGGTGGCCCAGGAGACATCCAGCTTTCCTCTCTTCCTCTCCCTGCTCCTCTTCCCCCCCTCCCAGCTACCCACACCCTAGGCGAAGGACACAATGCCTACAGGGGGCCACTGGGCCCAGCAGCTTAAAGGGCCATCGTGGGCTCACACAGCTCATAGTTTACACTCTGGGAGGCAATCCTGATACCTGCCATTGACTCAGTCATTCATTCATTCATCAGTTCATTCACTTATTCACTTAATCACTTGCCGGGCACTCAGTCAACCAGCACCAGATCTGCAGGGGCTGTGGGTGATTCAAGGAAAGGCAACACATGGTCTTGCTCGCCTAGTGTGTACAGAGCACTTGCAGTTGTGAGAGATATGAATGAGCAACTATGCTACAAGACAGAAAGAAGTAAACATCTTGATTTAGAGGTAGGGGACATTTAAAGAACTCAGAGTAAGAAGCCACCAGTGGAATGGGGGTGAGGCCCAGAGGGAGGTAGTTTGGGAAGGCTTCCTAGAGGAGGAAGAATTTTGCTGGAAGCAGTCTGGGAAGGCTTCCTAGAGGAGGAAGAATTTTACTGGAAGCAAGACTTAAAGATGGGGAAGTGGCTTGTGCAAAGGCATAGAAGGGAAGACGCCAGGTGGGCACAGAGGGGCTATCCCAGGCCCGTGGCACCACTCCTGTCAGAGCCTTGGGGCTTGCTTCAGAGGCTTCCTGGGCATGTCTGCTGGTAGTACGTGCTTTGGTGGCATTGTTTCAGTCACCTTGGAAAGAAGGGACAGTCCCCACTGAGCATGTCACCAATTCTTGCCTTTCTCTATCTGGCTCGGGCCCAGAGGGAATGCCTTCATCCTCTGTCTGAGTTTACAGCTCTCCCCACCCTTGCCCTGCCATTGAGGGAACATATTCCAAGATGGCACCTGCTTCCTCTTCAGCTCCAACTGCTGAGGTCTCTTTAAGAGTCCCTTGGACCCTTAAAGATGTCCCAGCCATCACCAACCTTAGCAGTGACCATTCTTCCCCACCCCTTTCCAGTCTCACTAGGGAAGCTTCTCTGCAGCAAGACCCCCTTCACCTGTGCCAGTGCCCACCTTCTGGTCTCCCTTGTAGCTCTTGCTGGGGGTCTCCTGGTAGAACCTATGGGCTCTAGAGTTGGGCAGACCAGGGTTTGAAACCTGGCTCTGCCACTTTGCACCCCACACTTGACCACATTTGTTACTTCTATAGGAACCACTCTTGCTTGCTAACCAACCCCTTCTCATAAACAGCACCTGACGTTCCTTTGGGGGGGACCTTCTCTTCCGCTCTTAGTCCTTGTTCTCTAAGTGACCCTGTCGGGATCACTGGGGACGAGCATGTGATCTAAGCAGGACAAGTCCTAGAACTTTCAATGGTTGGAAAAGGTCAATCTTTTTTCCACTGGGTTGATAAACTGTTCAAACATCAATGGAGGCTGTTGGAGTCATCTTTGCCTCCACAAGGAAAGGCCTACTTTACAAGTGAAAACAACACAGAGAAAGGCAGAGCCAAAAGATAAAACAGTTTGCAGTTTTGTGAACCAATTCTTTCTCTCCTCTTTATGTCAGTTTGACTTTTTATCACTTGCCACTAACAGCCTTAACGAAGACACTTAACTTGTAGTGAAATGACAGTGTGAATAGTACCCAGCACAAAGTAGCACTCGTGAATGGAGCTGTTGATGACTCTGACTTTGCCATGTCACGAGTCCACAAGCCATATTGTTCTACAGTAGTGGAATGCAACTTTTTCTTCCTTCATGAAGTCTCTGTTTTCCTGCCTTTCATAAGTCTTTATGTTTTAGATCAGTTTTCTCCCCCACCTCACCCCTAGGATGAGAATGTGGGAGATTTCAGGATATGGCTGAGGTCCATTGGTATCAACTAAATCCAACCAAACCAGACTTTCCCAACTGGCTTTGATTTCCTCCCAGGAGGGACTCCGGGAGCTAGGAAAGTCTATGCTGCCATCTAGTGGAAGTCGTCAGCAACAGCAGCACAAGGAATGGAGCAGGCGCTCAAGACCCACTCTCCCTTGGGACCATTGCTGTTAAAAAACAGTCTGCCAGCCCTCCTCACTGTCAAGTGTAAACACGAGGACAAGTGAATTAATGGTGAGGTCAGGAGCCCTGTGCCACGGGCAAGCATATATTAGTCCTAAGGGACTGGGAGGCTGCCCTGCTTCTGTGACCCTCCACTTCCCATTCCAAGGGTGGGAATCACAGCAGCCATCCTCTCTCTGCTCCTCTTGGCTGTGTGTGTGTGTGTGGTGGCTGAGGGTCTCCAGGGAGGAGGGCTGACATGTGTGCACATGCGCACACGTGTGTGTGTGGCTTGCTGGCTCTGCCTCTACAAGACATCCTTTGTCACAGATGCAAACAGGACAACTCTATCAAAGCTTCATGACATCAGCCTCATAAACTGTGAGACACATCACAGACTACTTGTTCTCTGGCAGTGAGAGACACTTGGAGAAAGAAAGACACATCAACTCTGTGTGACCCTGCTCCCAGGGCTGGCTGCCCACTGGGCCTCTGCCCATCACTGTGTGCCTTACCAGGGGAGTGCTGGAGCCCTCGGGCTGCACCAAGAGAGGAAGAACCCTGAGGACCCTCCCTGCCACGCTGCATAGAAAACACCACCTTTGTCTCTACCCATTTGTGATCTAGGTCCCGGCCACATCACAGTGCTTGTGCCTGGTTGGCATAGCAACCATGGTCAAAACACAGCAAAGGAGTAAGAGGCCAGTCTCGACTACCCTTGCTTTAGGCACTCAGTCTGGCCCAGGAGTTGAGGGAGAAAGAGTGACCAGAGGGCAGCTCGTGAGAACACAGTCCGACCACTGGGGACAGCAACCCAGCTTCCCATTTCCATGGTCTTTCCCCAAATGAGATGACCAGCTCTCCAGGTCTAGGGAAACTTCCACAACAAGATGATATCTATTACATCCCAGGAAAAGAAACAGCTACTTCCAATTCCTAAAACCCCTGATCTTCTATTTTAGATGACTTTGGGCCCAAGAAGAGCCTGCCTCACACTGCAACGACCAAGCGTCAAGGTGCCCTCCCCAAGGTTCTCCAGACTACAGCCACTCCCCCTTCCCAGGCTGTGGGGCCACTGTAGGGAAAGCCATTCCTTACAGCAACAGCCACCTGGTACCTGCAGACCCAACCCCAGTCACTCTGCACACGATTTGAGTCCCCAGAAGAGCAAGCTCGGGGACACAGTCAGAACCCTCTAGCTCTCCCCTTGGCTAGTCCAGTTCACTCACATCCAAGGCGCCAGGGAACTTGACAATCGGCTCAGGCCAGTAGGTGATCTTCTGTCTGAAGTTGTTGCACTCAGGAACAAACATGCAAGCAACGTTCCCCATCTCTGGGTAGTAAACCTCAAGGCCCCTGTGGAGAGAGAGAGGTGGTCATCCTGTGCGGGATTTTAGCCTAGCATGGGGTTCACAAGGCTTCCGTCTAGTCCTATTTGGAATGAAAATCAAATGGGATTAAATCCTAAACATGCTACTAACTAGTTGTGTGATCCAAGAGTGACCTGACTTCTTGTGCCTCAGTCTCCTCACCTGTAAACGAGGACACTAATAATACTGGCCCCACAGGGCTAGTGTGAGAAGCAAGACAGCAGCCAGTGTTTAAAACAGAGCCTGGCACTCCGTAAATTGTAAGTGTTAATTATCACCAGTGTTTACCTCCCAAGAAGAGACAGTCATCCCTCGGTAGCCCCTGGGGATTGGTTCTAAGACCCCTCCTCCACAGATACCAAAATCTTGGATACTAAGTCCTTTATATAAAGCACTACAGTGTTTACATATAACCAATGCAATTCTCCTGCATATTTTATTTCTTGCAGTGCTGGGGATCAAACCGAGGGACTTGTGCATGCTAGGCAAGTGCTCTACCATTAAGCCACATCCCTGGCCCCCTCCTGTACACTTTAAATGATCTCTTGATGACTTATGACACCTAATACAATGTAAGTATAAATGGTTGCTGTATTGTTGAGGGAATAATGACAAAAAGGAATCTGTACAATTTTTTTCAAATGTTTTCCATCGTGGTTGGTTGAGTCCATGGATGCAGAACTGTGGATACTGAGGGCCAACTGCACAACCTCAGGCAAACTTGGTCAGTGTCTTTAAAGTAGAACTGTTAGCCGGCATGATGGAAGACACCTGTAATCCCAGCACTCAGGAGACTGAAGTGGGAGGATCAACAGCTTGAGGCCAGCTTATGCTACACAGCAAGCAAGAAAATAAATAAAACCAGGCACCAGTGGCTCATGCCACTGCCTTGGAAGGCTGAGATCAGGAGGCTCAAAGTTCCAGGCCAGCCCTGACAAAGAAAGTTTGTGAGAACCCATTCATACTCATCTGGGTGGTGGTGTCATCTCAGCTATGTCAGGAAGCACAAAACAGGAGAGTCGTGGTCTACGCCAGCCTGGGCAAAAAGTGAGATCCCTCTAAAATAATCCAGAATAAAAAGGGATGGGAGTATGGCTCACATGGTAGACTGCATGCTTTTCATGTGAAGCCCTGAGTTCAAACACCAGTGCTACTAACAAACAAATAAATAACTAATAAAATAGGATTGGGTTAGTCAGGCATGGTGGTTCAGGCCTGTGATCCCAGCACTCAGGAGGTAGAGATAGGTGAATCATGAGTTTAAAGCCAACCTAGGCTACATAGCAAGGCTCTGTTGAAAACACACACCCAAAGTCTATGTTCTTATTGCAGAAAGAAAGGTTTAGCAAGTCAGTATAGCTTCCTTCATGGACAGAGAACTTCCCTCTCTTCTGAACAATCAAGAGCTCCTGGGGCCTGAAATCCCACAGTTAGTTAGAGAGTTCACTTCCGTTAGTTGGATAATTCACTTCCTCGAGTCGGATAATCCACTTCTTGGGTTAAGCATTACCCACACCCAGGGCTCTCTTTCAAAATGTAAACCTCTCCGGGGGTAAGCCATGTCATCACTAAAACTGCAGCATAACTCCACTTACCTATTCTCTCCCTGAGAGGCTGGGCCTGAACAGCTTAGGTTATCTGGGAGACTGGCTTCTTGGAAAGGAAGAAATTATGACAGAAAAAAGAGACAGTGATTGCAGCTCAGGACACAGGTGACCAATGTCACCAGCTTGGCCTGAAGGGGTCACCTATTTTTGAAACTCAGAAACGCTAGTCAGACTTTCAGATAGATGTGGAACATGCCTGTAATCCTAGCAACTCAGGAGGCAGAGATCAAGAGGATCAAGGTTCAAAGCCAGCCTGGGGAAGTAGTTCCATGAGACCCTATCTTAAAAAAACACATCACAAAAAATGGGCTGGTGGAGTGGCTCAAGGTGTAGGCCCTGAGTTCAAACCCCAGCACCACCACCAAAAAGAAAAAATAAATCTTTGTGCCAACTTAAAAACAAACAAACAAAACTGGCCTTCCTCTCTGCCCTCTGGTCCTTTTTATAGCACCAAGACCCATGGCTTCTGTAGGGTTCATTTAGTTAACTCAATTCAGTGATGGAGAAGGGAAAAGAGGCCTGGAGGGGAGGCAGGGAGTGGATTTTGTGGATCTTAAACCTTCCCTAATGGCCCCATGTGACCAAGTTGCTCCCCAGCTGGACAGTGGCCACCTACCACTGTCCACCCAGTCCTGTTGGGGTGACATCTGCAAAGCACCCAGTGAGAATGTAATTTGGGGAACAGATGAGGAGGGAGGGCTCCTGGAGGCTGGTGCTGGGAGGAGGCCAAGGCCAGCTTCCTTGTGGGGAGCCTCACACTGCCCTTGGCATTCTGCCTCCCCACCCCCCTTCCAGCCATCCCAAGGTCCTACCACGGTCACTGAGGCAGGATGCTTTGGTGGACTCAGGAACCCTGGTCCCACAGGTGGAAGCAGGGCTGTCTCAGGTGCCAGTGCGTCCTACTTGCCAACCTTGTTTGTTTTTCTTAACTTTTCACATATTTGTGCCAGTTCTTTCTGGGTGGCATGGATTGGGGAGCCTCTGAACAAGGCCTTAGGGGATGGATTTTCCCTTATCTTCATAGCAGCATTTTAAGAATCGTTTGGCAAATTAAGGTAAAAAATTGACAATATTAAAGAGGAAGTAACCCAAGATATGGAAAACCTCAGAAAAAAGAATGAAACAGAAATACAAAACAAAATGGAAGGCCAATCCAGCAGAATAGAACAAACAGAAGACACAATCTCAGAACTTGAAGATGAAATGGTAATTAAAGGAAAAACTGAAGAACTATTAGTTAAACAACTCAAGACCTGTGAAAAGAAAATGCAAGAACTCACCAACTCCATCAAAAGACCAAACTTGAGAATCATGGGCATCGAAGAAGGAGAAGAGGTGCAAGCGAAGGGAATGCGTAATATATTCAACAAAATAATAACAGAAAATTTCCCAAATCTAGAGAATGCTATGCCCATTCAGGTACAGGAAGCCTCAGAACATCAAACAGACCTGACCAAAATAGAACTACCCCATGACATATCATCATTAAAACAACAAGTACTGAGACTAGAGAAAGAATATTGAAGGCAGTAAGAGAGAAAAAACAAATAACATACAAAGGTAAACCCCTCAAAATCACAGCAGACTTCTCAACAGAAACATTAAAAGCAAGAAGAGCATGGGGTGAGGTCTTCCGGGCACTGAATGAAAATAACTTCAACCCTAGGATACTCTACCCAGCAAAACTATCATTCAAAATAGAGGGAGCAATAAAAGTCTTCCATGATAAGCAGAAACTAAAACAATATGTGACCACAAAGCCACCATTACAAAAGATTCTGCAAGGAACTCTGCACACAGAAAATGAAAGCAAACAAAACCATGAAAGGGCAGGCAGCACCAAACCACAGGAGAAGAAAAGACAAGGAATCAGAGAGTAACAGTAATTCAGCTGCACACAATCAAGCCCTTAATCAACAAAGACAACTACATGACAGGGATCACCACATACCTATCAATAGTAACACTGAATATTAATGGACTAAATTCCCCCATCAAAAGGCACTGTTTGATGAAATGGATTAAAAAGGAAGATCCAACAATTTGTTGCTTACAGGAGACCCATCTCACCGACAGAAGTAAACATAGGCTTAGGATGAAAGGCTGGAAGAAGATTTACCAAGCCAATCGCCCCCGAAAACAGGCAGTGGTAGCAATACTTATCTTGGACAAAGTAGACTTCAAACTACTTTGATCAAACGAGATAAAGAAGGACATTCCATACTAATAAAAGGGGAAATACACCCAAAGGAAATAACAATTATCAACCTATATGCACCCAATGTCAATGCACCCAATTTCATCAAACATATTCTGAAGGACCTAAAAGCATATATAGATCCCAACACAGTGGTAGTGGGAGACTTTAATACCACCCTATGACCAATATATAGGTCATCCAAACAAAAAATCAATAAAGAAATCCTAGAACCAAATCACGCCATAGATCAAATGGACCTAGTTGATGGCTACAGAATATTTCATCCAACAATATACATTCTTCTCAGCGGCCCATGGAACCTTTTCCAAAATTGATCATACCTTAGGGCACAAAGCAAGCCTCAGCAAATACAAGAAAACAGAAATAATCCCATGCATTCTGTCTGACCACAATGCATTAAAACTAGAAATCAACCACAAAAACATCAGTAAAAAACATGCAAATAATTGGAAGCTGAACAACACATTGCTCAACAATGAATGGGTCACTAATGAAATAAAAGAGGAAATTAAAAGGTTCTTGGAAGTTAATGAAAATGAAAACACGACATACTGGAACCAATGGGACACAGCAAAGGCAGTCCTAAGAGGAAAGTTTATAGCCATGAGTGCATATATCAAAAGGACAGAAAGATCTCAAATCAATGACCTAACACTACAGCTGAAACTCCTAGAAAAACAAGAACAAGCAAATCCTAAAAGAAGCAGAAGGAAAGAAATAATTAAGATAAGGGCTGAAATCAATGAAATAGAAACAAACAAAAAAAACATACAAAGAATCAATGAAACAAAAAGCTGGTTCTTTGAAAAAATAAATAAGATTGACAGACCCCTGGCAAACCTAACTAAAATGAGGAGAGAAAAAACCCAAATCAGTAAAATCAGAAATTCAAAAGGAGACATAACGACAAACACCACAGAAATCCAGGAAATCATCAGAGACTACTTTGAGAACCTATATTCAAATAAATTTGAAAATCTAAAAGAAATGGACAGATTTCTAGAAACTTACAACCACCCAAAACTGAACCAAGAAGATATTAATCACCTGAATAGATCTAAAACACAAAAAGAAATTGAGGCTGCCATCAAGAGCCTCCCAAAAAAGAAAAGTCCAGGACCTGACAGATTCACTGCTGAATTCTATCAGACATTTAAA